TATACTTTAAAATACCCCTTTCTTCCTAACTAATGGACATATTATCCACATGCAGGCACAAAATAACACCTCCCAAGCACTGATGGTTCTGTAACTGTCTCCTGATCATGGTGGAGCCGAAATGCACTCAGTAGGATTGTTGTTCAGCAGCTAAGTGACAGCTAAGTGACAGTGAACTTGGCTCATCCTGAGTGAATATGGGACACTGTTACCCCTTCCTAACCCCTGACATCCCTGCTGTAATTTTCTTTCCTCTGTTTTTCTGAACTAAAGCCTAGGAATTTATAATAAAAGCATCTATAAAGAAATGTCAAGCTTATACAATTAGGGGTGATGAGGCAGAAGACAACATTATAGAAGCCATGTGTGTGTATAATACTTTATCTTATCCCAACATACCTTTATACCCATAACTTTACTGGGTTCTGGCAGCTCACCTGTAAAGCAGGCAAGATGAATACCATTATCACCACTTTTCAGATAGGAGAGTGGAAACCTAGGATTTGCCCAGCCCAAAGTCACACAGCTGGTTGGAATCTCAGGATTGAAAAGGAAGCAATAGATCGCCTCTGCTAAGCCTCTGCCTTTACAGATGAAACCTCCAGCAACCAAAAGATCCCCCAGCTAGGTCGCCAGAGAGGAACTCAGCCAGGGGCCCTTCTAGCAACATGGCCAGTGTTAGAACTGCATGTCCTGCCTGTTCCTTTTCCCATCAGGAAGCAGCTCCATTAAAGGGAATGTGTTCCAATATACTGAAAAGGCTTCATTGATTGGACTTGCTCACTTTTTTATTAATAGTCTTTTTGAAATAACCGCAAGCTAGTGAGCTGACGTAACTAGAGAACGCGCGTTACGTACAATAGTTCTACAAAGAGTGCACGTTTTGTGCTCTACCGAAATGTGCCTTTGAGGTATGTGACTGGGATGTTAATCCTGTAAAGTTAGAATTTCATTTATATGCCTTTAAAATTAACATAAGGGGGTGGTGCTCGAGTGACTCTGTCGGTTAAGCGTCCAGCTCTTGGTTTCTGTTCAGGTCATGATCTCACGGCTTCGTGGGTTCGAGCCCCGCTGACAGCAATGGAGCCTGCTTGAGATTCTCTCTCTCCCGCGTTCTCTGCCCCTCCCCTGCTCATGCTGTCTCTAACTCTCTCAAAATAAATAAATAAACTTTAAAAACTAAAACTAAAAATAAAATTAACATAAAGGTTAAAAGCCAAAGTATGACTGTTGTCACCAAGCTTAATGCCCCGAAAGAAGAACATTTGAAAGAAAAAAAAGTACGGAAAACCTTCTTTTAGCTTCAAGTAACTTATCTTTGATGGCCTGACATGAAATTTAAGCAATTGATTCATTAAGTGCCCCTTCTGACCTTTTTTTCTTTTTGCCTCACCAATAATTATTCTTGTATGATTCACACAGAAATGGAAATTTGGTAGTCACTCAGCTAATTTGACCAGAGTTGACAAGCAGCTAATTAATCCCACCCCCTCTTCATCCAGTTTATGTATTAAATTAGTTGATTTCGCCTCACGGAAGCATGGGTCAAAATGGTAGGGTAACTCACTGCGTATGTGTTATCGCCATTACATTTATACACATTATATTAAAACACACTATCTATCTAAATTTTCTATACATATTGCCATTATATTTATGTACATATACGTATATGCGTATGTGGTACGCATATACATATATGTACATAAATGTATATGTACATTATGTACATATATGTATATGCACATATCACATACGCATATACATATATATTTATTCCTATAACTTACACACACAGCAAATATTAGGCATAGAAATGAAGCTAAAATTGGTTTTGTAAACTTAGCATGGTGTTTTTTTTTTAATTTCTTACAGCATAATTATTTTGTTTCTGTAGAGTTTTATATGTATCATAATGACTGGAATTCAAATAGGGTGCCCCTCCTTCTCCAAGGTGCTCAAGCAAGAATAGCCTGTTTTATCTTCTCTAAGCACCTACAAGGATGTGCTTATTGAGAATGACTTTGGACAAGTGCCTTGGCTTCTCAGAGCCTCAGTTCTCCCATTGGTAAAAAGGGAGACCACAAATAAAGTGTCTGTCATACTGTCTGGCACATAGATGGCACTCAATACAGGGCCACCCTGCCCCTTAATGACTTAGTCACGCTGACCCTGTCCCTCCTGGTGAAGAAGAAATAAGCATTATCAGCTTCAGAGTAATTAAAACTTAAATACTGAACACAAATCAGTTAAATGGGACAGAAAAATCAATGTTATCAGGTACGTGAGCTGAGTCAATTACTGCAGCTATTAAAGAGAGTGAAAATCTGGTGTGTTGCAGTAAGCCTTGCGTTTCATATAAATTTACTCAGGGAATATTGTAGTAGAATGGTTAAGAACAGGGGCACCTGGGTGGCTCAGTCGGTTGGGCATCCGACGTCAGCTCAGGTCATGATCTCATGGTTCATGAGTTCAAGCCCCTTGTCGGGCTCTGTGCTAACAGCTCAGAGCCTGGGGCCTGCTTCCGATCCTGTGTCTCCCCTTCTCTCTCTGACCCTCCCCCACTCGTACTCTGCGTTTCTCATTCTCTCTCAAAAATAAACATTAAAAAAAAAAAAAGAACGGTTAAGAGCACCACCCTGCCTCAGAGACATCTGGATCTCCACCCTGGCTCTAGCTGGTGGCCTAGGGCCCTTATGCAGACACCCTCTCTGAGCTTCAGTTTCTGCATTTATAAAACGCAGATAATAACACCTGTCTGGTGACAATCAAGTGACTTTATACATGCAGAGTGCTTAGCAAAATGTCTGCCACAGAGTAAGGGTTCAGAAAATGATAGCTGTTGTCACTGTGATTCCAGAAATTCTCTCCATCAAAGAATGCTTTCTCATTCTCTCACAATGACACCTGCTAACCTAGTAGACTTGGGACCTGTGAATCAATTGCACACACTGAGCCCGCGTCTCCTCTACCCCTAGGGATGGTGAACTTCAGTGAGGTGTCTGGATACCCTGTGCTGCAGCACTGGAAGGTCCGGTCTGTGATGTACCACATCAAACTCAACCAAGTGGCCGTCTCTCAGGGTGAGCACCGCAGCAAGCCGTCCGTCCCACTGGTTCCTGGGGCTTAGAATTCTTTCCAAGGGCACAAGCCTTTTATCCCATTGTTGAAGAAGCAGTCTAAAATGTAGCCACTTCAGCGAGATACATAACCTGTTCACTCAGATTCACCCTTAAGGACAAGCCCCTGGAATCAGATCCTTGTCTAAGTATAGATTAAATTTTTGCACATTTTATCATGGACCGAAGAAGAGATGGGAAGGGCAAGGCAGGAACCGCTGAAGATAAACACCTACTTTATCATTCTTCCTGGGGTCACACAGTGTAGAGAGAGGATGTTCAAAAGCAGACTTTGTAGAAATTGACAGAATAAAACCGTCCACATGCAAAGAGCATGACTTAGAGTTTTCAGACAATGAAAGAAATAAGGGCAAAAGAGCAAGAAAGAGGAGGATGTGGGAGAGGGGATAGAAAACAGCTTTTATGGTCACGAAATACTAGCAGGTGAGCAAAAGATAGACAGATGATAGATAACAGAGAGAGCTAGCTAATAAGTTAAGGAGTAGTGAATTCCAAAACTCAGGACAAATTGAGCCAAAACACAACAGTGAGGTGCTCGTACAAGTTTCTTGACACTTTAGCGGTCAATGCCTTGAATCAAGTTTTTCCTAGCACTTAAGCTATTTGAATGTGTGATTTGCAGATGGGAAAACTGCTACAGACAAGGCCTTAATACAGGTGCGCACCTCCATTCCACGTCATCCCCTGGGACCAGGAGAACGTTACTCGCATTCTTTCTCCGAAGCTACCTAAAGAACATGCCAGATGTGAAGTTTATGCCATAGGGTCTTGTTTCTCTGTGTTGGGTGGAAAGGTAACTGGAGCCAGATGACATTGTTGGCACAGGAGGACAAGACAAGGAGAGACCTTTGGGTCAACAACAGAAAGGCAGAGTCTTAGCGCCAACAGGAGAGACGTAAAAGGTAGGGGACAGGTAGAGAAGCATAAAGAGGAAATGAGCCATATCCTCACGGAAGTAAAGCTTTACGTCTAGGGAAAGAAACTGCATTAAGGATGTAGAACATGTCCATAGGACACAAGGGGGCCCAGAACTTTATTTTAACGTGAAAGAGTTCTCGGCAGGAAGGGATTGGGATGGGGAATCTTCCTGAAGTAAACTCTGCTGGTACAGAAAATCCTTGAAAGAACTAAGCTGCTCTTCCTTCTCGGGAAATGTAGCACTAGAGAATTTGGCCTGTTCACGTGCTGAGTTTGCACCCAGCACAGGTGCTGTGCACATCAAGGGCTGACAGGGGGACATCTCTGTTGCCACACGCCTTTCAAAGCCACAGGTGGCATCACAGGTGATGTGGACTTCTGCACTAAGGGTCTTGAGCCTGGGCCGGGCTTGGCCTTGTCCTGTTAGGACACAGGTGTGTACAGAGAAAGTCAGACTAAAGCTGGCCAGGTTCAGAAGGCATTGGGTTTGGAAAATTTGTTGTGGGCTCTCTTTCTGACAGGTGTAATTCTCCTAAACAGGGAAAACGAATCTGTGGAGATGTGGCTGGGGAGGAGGGT